GGTGTGCTGGAGCGTCCCTTTTGTGAGTTCAACTGGGACACCAACCCCAGTGACTGTGATTACTCTGTTGAGCTAGCCCTGCCCAAGCACAGGATCCAGTACTTCACCTACAGAGGGCATCGCGTCTGGGACCGCCACAGCCGGACTGACAGGGTGTTTGGCTCCACTGGTCAATCTCTGGCTCCCCCGTTTGGAGGGGAGGAGGAAGCAAAGGGTAAGAGAGGCCTCTTTATTGCTACAATACCATAACATTCAACTGAATGCAACCTTTTTAAACACAAAATTAGGAAATGCCACTGCCCTCAGGATTTACTCTGACTGAATACAACCATTTGTTTTTCAACGAATATACACAGAAGAACAAGAGCAGGCTCAAGGCTGCCTTAAAACAACAGAAGACCAGCCACCTGCTGTTAGTGGGCAGGAAGAGAGTGAAACAGGGGAGTGTGCTCATACTGAGAGCACACATCTGGAGGAAGCGATGCAGGATGAGATGAATATTCACACTCCTGACTCAACACAACCAGCTTCAAAGTGTAGAGGAAACACTTCTCAGGAACAACAGGATTCAGGAGGAGCACATGTTGTGGAGGAGGCTGCAAACAGGTCTGGTGTTCATGTTCATCCTGTAAATGTAACTGAGAAACAGAAAGAGCGTCTTGAGCCTCACTAATGTGAAACAAAAGATGTGGGTGAGGTGTAGTTACAAGAGGAATTTAAATGAGATCCTTCACGTTTGATCAGATCGCTGAGAAATGGAGATCACACCTACACTGTTAGAGCAGGAGGTGGAGGACTGGGGGGAATGAATGAACAAATCTGCACCTACAGTTTTTTGAAAAGATGAAAATATCTTGTCCTCCAAACACACCTCTCACTCAGGATACCTCTCTGCTAGCTAATATGACCCATGAGCAAATGGTCAAGTATGTTTTTATACAGTGGGAGAAATTAACTTTTTGCCCCAAATCACATTTGCCTGGGTAAGTTTATTTATACCCCGGGTTCAAGTTGAGACATCAAAAATACATTACAGGAAAACTGGTATTTTAATTATTAACAGGATTAGAAACTGAGGAATGTATATTTTTCATCTTTTAAGACAGTGTTAAATGTGATTTCGTCTTTATATGGGTGACTTTAAGATAAAGCTAAATTTGGAAAGCACTCTCACAAGTTACTCTCCTGCCTGTGAAATAATTTTACTCACCTGCTTTGGTTTTAGACTTCAGACTACAACAGACCAAATATTATTGCAGACAGAGGGAGTGAGTGTGAAAGAAGAGGGTGAGGAAGAATGGGAAGAAAGCTGGGAAGCCAATAAAGATGCTTTGGTGGGTACAGTTCACTCCTCAGCACATTTTTGTTCTGTTGTTGCAGTTCAGCTTTATGAGAGTGATTTTCTTTATGTTCCTCCTTGGTTACACACAGAGTTATCTTACACCTGTGAACATCAGCCAGAGTCCGTCAGTACCTCTGAAGCAGCGAGAGGAGAAACGTGGTGCTCGCCCCCCTAAAAAGAAACCCACACACTTCATCACCTTTAGGGCCAATACTCCTGCTATCCTCTCCTGTTTCCAGCAGCTGCAGGGGGAGATCACCTCCCTTCTCCCCTCTTCTGCTCCTTACTGGTTGACTGCCTCCAGGCTTCATGTGACCCTGTGCTTGCTGATGCTGCACAGCCCAGCTGAGGTAGCCACCGCCGAGGAGGTCCTCCGACAGTTTGCCCATTTGGATCGCAACCCCCCGGTGGCTGTGACCTTTCCTGTAAAGCTGAAACATTTCAATGGGAGGGTGCTCTATTTGAGCCCCCAACCTCAACTGTCCCTTCAGCAACTCAACAGCGGCCTGCAGGAGGCCTACCGGAAGAAGGGCTTTCTCCACCGGGACTCTCACAACCCACGCTACCACCTCACACTGGCCAAGGCAGACTTAGGGGAAGAGAGGATTTTTGGAGAGGTGGGGGGCTTAAAGGTGGGGAAGGGTTTAAATTTTGGCCGTCTGCCAGTTAACACCTTATACCTTTGTGCAATTCACGGTACAAAGGTAGATGACTTTTATGAGACCTTGTGCACAGTAACTCTTCGATGATAGAAGAGCGTGCATTTCACATGCACATACTACATACATACATATGTACATGCATTATCTCTGAGCTGGAATTTTATAAGTCATGTGGCCTTACATAACAAATTAGATGTTTTAATTTTTTTTAAGTAATTTAGTAAAGGTACACTTTTAAAGGTAACCAGGTAAAAGACAATTTAATAGCATGGCTTAATGGGCAAAGATTTTTTATTAGACCAGGGAAAATCCCACTGAGGTTAAGAACCTCTTTTACAAGGAAGGGAGCCTTGGTAAGATAGTGGCTTTCTCATTTAACAGCATCAAAAAGACACTGGTGCCACACGTACACAGAATACAGTCAGCATTTCCAGAGGTCTGTACTTGTATAATATCCCCAGTACCATAAAAATGTTTTTGGAACCAGGCGTGCACTGCAAACATCGAGCCATTCATAAAGTGGCAGATATCTGGGCCCAACAGTGAAGCCATTATTTATTTATACAAAGAAAACTGGATTATATTCTTCATTTAATCCATAGGATTTAGAGTTTTAATGGTGTATAACCAGAAACATTTCCCTTTTAATAAGAGACTTCTCAATATCTCCGCCTCTATGTTTCATTTTTTCATTGCCAGTACATTTAAGATCCTAAATCTTATTATTATATGTCTTATTAATGAGAAATAATGATATATGTTATAAATGAAGATAAAATAATAAAAATAATGAAATAAAGATAAGAAATGAATGTAACCCACATCATATAGTGAATTGACACTGCAAACTTATACAAACAGAACTTTGCTCGGCTGAACAGAAGAATATAAAGACTAAACACAGATTGAGCAAAGGTCTACAACATCAGTCTTCTTATTCACTGGTTTAGTTGATAGGGTGTAAAGATTAAAACACTAAAAGCTTCAATTTGCTAAATTGCAGCAACTTTTAAAATTGGAACAGAAACTATTAGTCAATCAAATATTTGATTGATAGAAAACTAATATGGAACCGTCAAATTGGCTTACCTCTGGCAGCCAATGAATGTTTTTTTTAATTTTCATCAGCGTGGAGCCGGTAAATTCAGTGGATTTACAGAGTAGAATACCTGCTTTCTTATCATGTAAAAATTGCCATAAGTTGAAATACATGTTAGCGTTCTTTCTGTTTATTATCCGATGAGTCAAACAGGGTGACATGGGCAAACCTTGGACCTTCTCTGGGCATCCCCGATCATGTTCTACCACTACACGGGACACATACCATAAA